CAGCAGCCCCAGGGCCCCCTACAGCAGGCAAGAGGCTCCTTAGGATTAGTCATGTATATAAACCGTTTATTGTTTCAAAACATGTTTTATCCGAAATGCGTTTCTTCTGCTCAAGCAGTACTTTGCTTCCCAAGAGCTGCCTGGTCACCAGGTAACTAAAAGAAGGGAGCAGTGGATGCTGAGCCCAGTTTGGAGAACTGAATGATTGCTAAACGCAGTTTTAAAATGTTTTCAAATGTTTACTCTCTTCTATATACCTTTTGCCGCAACAAAAGCGACAGTATTGTTTCTAAACAAAATAAACCAGAGGCAGTGACAGCAGGTTGACACTCCTGGCACTTCCAGTCGGGGGGGAAGGCTCTGCCCCGGCAGCTCCCGCAGCAAACCCGGCGCAGATGGACGCGCTCACACGCGGTGCGTGGCCGTGGAAGGCACGTTCCAGCTTCAAGCAACTGAAGGACTTTAATTAAAACCAGGGAAAAATGTTTTAAGCACAGAAAATACTGATCTTCTCCAAAATTATTTGTTCTGCTTGAAAGCTAAGGCTCTGCTTTAAGTCTGTTTTTATATGTCTCTTGGACTTGAATTATGGCACATTAATTATAGCCAGAGGCAATGAAGAAGTGTTATTCCTTTACAAAGAAGATGGAGAAATTCAGTTAAAAATAGATTATAACAGTGCTGTCAGGCACAGGCATTTTCCTGCCTCCGCTGGATTTCTGTTTTCCATAGACCAAGGCGGAATTTGCTCACAGAACATATGGAATTTTTATATTACTCAGCATAATTAAGTGTAACTGGTTAAGTGAGTGCAGTGACTGTGGAGGTCACTAGAACAGCCATTAACTTTTCCTTGCTAAGTGAAGTGGCAGTTAGCCAAAAAATCATTATCTATTTTTTTTATTATTATTATTTTTTTGAGCTTCTGTCGGAAGGGACGAGGAGAGGCTGCGCAGACGTGACACCCGCGGGTGCTGTGGGGCCGCGCTCCCCGCAGGAGGGAAAACTCGTGGCCAGATCTGGAGTCAGACGCAGAGCACCAGACCCAGGCGATCCGCTGAGATCTTGCAGGACCTGATGCCACCTGGAGACGTTGCCAACAGGGAAGGGGCACAGAAACCGCAGGCACCCACCGCCCCCTCGGGGAGAAGAACCGAGTTTTCTTTAAAAATGTAAGCTGTAGAGAAAATGGAAACTTTTGATAATTCACAGGTCAAAGGTTTCTGTCCTTACACTCTGACATGTTAGTGGGTATTCTTAAAACAGTATCACTGCTGTGAGTATCTGTGAGTGTCTGCACGTCACTGCTGGGCCCCAGCGTCTCGCTGAAGATGCTCTGCCCCGCTGCCCCCCCCGCTCCCTTCCTGTCCCCTCCTGCAGCACGCGTGTGGCCCTGCCACAAGCCCGGGGAACGGATTCCGCTGAAAACGAACCCAGCGAAGCCCAGAAGGAGTCCTTGGCAGGCGCAGGTTCTGGGTGCGGGTCCCCCAGCCCCGGGCCCCGTTGGCGCTCCCCTGGGGAAGGGATCCATCCCGCCGGGGCGCAGAGCCGAGCCGCAAACATTCCAGCGGCTGAGAGAAGGTGGAATACAGCGATTGCCATCTAGTGGCACAGGAAAATGGGCGCTGGGAACTTGGCGCTCGGGTTTTGTCGGCGGGGGATGCTCAGTCCAACTGCTGCTGCTCGGCCCCCCGCGGCAGAGCCGCTGCGGTCGGCGGGTCTGAGGTCAAACCGCTCTGCTTTCGCCTTTGCTCATCCTGCATTCGACATTCTCGAGGTATTTTGGCTAGCAAGCAAGGCCACAGGGTGATGCTGGGAAGAAGGGTCACTGTTGGTGCTGCTTCTCCTGGTGAAAGGGAGATTCGAGGTTGGGGACGCTCTGCCCGCGCTCACGCTTCACCCCAGGTTTAGGGAAACCCCGGCGGCTTTGCCAACCCCGCCGCGTGTGCCCAGCACAGAGGGTCCCCTCCCGCGGGGACACGTGCCCTGCGTGAGCCAGCCTTGGGCCCTGCTCCGGCCGCGGGAGGGGAGCACCCCACGGGGCACAGAGGCCTCCTGCGTGTCTCAGACATCCCGCTCTGGTCAAAGGGCGCGACTCGTCTGACCGATCGCGGTAGCCCACTTCAGGGTAAGAAAAGGACCTGATAGACCCTGTTTACTTCCACTGCCTGTAGAGCCTCGAGTGCTCTGCTCCTATACCGACACGTGCGTTACAGATATCCATCCGATCAGGAGAATCCCCCAGCCCGCGAGTTGAAACAAAGGCTGAAAACGGTGGGAAGTATTGAGAACCACAGCAATATAAATATAGTTTATTGGTTCAGAGAAGGATGCAGAGAGGTTGCTGATAACGGTCTAGGTTAACGAGCAGGAGGTAACTTTTGCTGTGGCTTTGTTTTCCCAGCAGAACTGGGGACCTAGACTGGTTCTGCTTTGCCCCCTCAGTGATCTCCAGACAAATCATTCCCCTTCTCTGTGTCTCAATTTCTCCCTCTGTGATGCAGAAATGATAATAATTAACCAACGTTTTTGTAAACTGGATGAGCTGAGACCGGTAAAAAGGGAAAAGGCATTTTATAGTAGGAGAAAACCGGAGCAGAATTATAACCCGTGACGCTTCATTGGCTTTCTAAGCTCGTCAGGTGTTGCGTTCGCGGGTTACTCTGGAAAGTCAGCTCAGCTCTCCTGCCCAGATGTATCGCCCGCGGACCTGCCACCTCGCCTAGCTGCGGGCTGGGAACAACAGAAACTTGATGATAACAGGGAAGAGCCGGGTAAAGGCATCAGGTTTGGGGACCCAGGCCCGAGCCTGCCACGTGCAGGTCTGCGAGGGGCTGGAGCTGGGGAAGGGACCCGCGGCAGCCCCGGCCCCAGCGATGGGGTGGGATGACGGCTGAAAAATCTCCTGCAGCGCCAAGTCTCAGCAGCGGCGCGAGGGGACGGGGAGGCTGTAGGAGCGCGGGCCAAGGCTGTTTATACCGCCAGAGCTCCGTGGAAGCGACCAGCAGCGTTTCTGCATGTAGCAAGCCCACCTCTACCCAGCACCTCCCGATGGCACGTTCGGATAGCAGCCCTCCAACTTCTTGCAGGGGTTAGGGGATTAATCAGAGGTTGTATGAAAAAGAAGCCAGGGCCATAGCAACCAGCCTAACACAGCCGGGTGGTATCTAAACACCAAGCCCATAGACATGGGAGCGAAGTGAGTTGTTTGGGGGATTACACTTCAGGTTTCCATGGAAAAAACTCCCGTAGAACATACTTCCAGCCAAATTACTGTGCGAACTGAAGAGAGGTTTCAGAGCTTCAGCTTGATGTTTTAAATGAATATTATCTAGCTGCTGCCAGCATTTTACGATTTCAAAATTTAGCTTAGCTGTATTTTCTCCAGGGTTCTGCCTGTATTTGCTTTGAAAATAATGAAGGAACAAGAAATGGCCTCTGTCATTATTCATTCATCTGCTGAGCAATCCAGAGCAAAAACAAACAAATGTGCTGGAGGCAGACGCGGGGAGAGGGCTGAACGTGAACGCTTCCGAGCTCCTTACAGCACGGGAACACTAGTGCCTCCTCAAAAACGCTGCGCGCGCGAAGAGCACGCAGCCTCCCTCGTACAGACAGAACAATCAGATGGCAGTAGGAGAAAAAACCCCTACAAGTCAGTGAAGACAATTTATTACAGGTTGCGGCAGAAGGACAAAACCTGTTGTGGTGTTTTGCCAGCGCAGATGCTTCCAGGTGCCTGGTTAAAGGGGAGTTCAGCACCCCCGCGGCAGGTCCCTCTGCGCAGGGATGCTTTGCCTTTCAGCAGCGCAACGGAATCTCCTGAGTGTGGTTCGCAGTGGCCTGGATTGTGCGGAGAAAGGAATAGCTCTGCATTGGCAAGGAACGGGGCCAGGAAAGGATTTTAAAGACTTTTTTTTTTTCCCCTTACCTCCAGTATTTGAAGTCCATTGGGATCCCCAGTATATCAAACTCTGCTGAGTTTCAGCCGGTGAGATTCTCCAGGTCAGTAAAATTAGTTTTCTCACCCAGAGCTGGACTCCAGGGTAAGAATAAGGTATTGTGCAGCAGAATTACTGAACTATTGAAAACCAGTATTCTTCATATCAACGTGACACATAGTTCTGGCTGTGAGTTGCAGGTACCATAGAGCATCGCTAGGATACACTTTAATGCTTTAAAAAACATGATCTGAAATAACCCAATTGGAATATTTTCATGCTGCTCAAATTTGTAATAGATTATAAATACCACATTCATATGTAATTCATGATGGAGAGAAATTATTTCAATAACATTTATTATTCGAGAATAAAAAGGAGTATTGGGTATGACTACTTAACGGTTATAAAAGTCAGGCTGGCAGCGGTTTTTACAGCTTCTGTGATTCAATTGGAAATAATTATTTTGGTAGCTCCCTGCCGGCCCTTCCCTCCTCTCCCCCACCCCTCAGTCCCAGCTCCTGGCCCCTGCAGAGGGGCTGTGCGTGGCCGCTCCCTCCCCGTGCTGGCAGACGGGTCCCCCCAGCCTGGAGAAGGGCTCAGGCAGTCGGCGAGTCGGTAAGAACGGTGTGTGCAGGCTCCGGGCCCGAGCAGAAGAGCCAGAGCTTGCCTAGAGCGGGCGGGTGGTTGGAGAGCTGGGGGGTGCTGCTACAGCAGCTTCTCCTGCGGGACGGGAAAGTCTCGGTTCTGCTTGTGCGGGAGAGGGAGGTGGGACGGGATGGAAGCCCCCGGGGCCGCGTCCTCGCAGGCAACGCACCCGCCTGCGCCCATCGGTGCTCCAGGCTGGTCCCTACAGGAGCTGGCTGGGATGGGAAGGCCCATCCCTGCGCTCCCAGTTTGGACTGGAAAGGGGCTGATGAGCACCCGAAGCTCATAACAGATGGTATTTGAGCACAAGTCACACCCATCCCAGGAATTCATTGATAATCAATAGGCTGAGAACTTTTAACTTTGCCTGTTCACCTCTTGCCAACTTTGTCCTCCTGCTTCTTACTGTAATCTGCAGTCCGTCAGCTGTTCACACCGCCAGTCCGATTTAATGGCAGATTAACATCCTGTGCTTCTCCTTAGCCAGTTTTGGTTTGGTTTTTCCCCTGCTAGCCAGGCTTTGCTGCCACAATGAACAACGGGCGGGTTTGCAGCCTGTGGCCGAGCTGGAGATCGGGCTCTGCACCGCGTGGATTCGCTCCCTGAGTTCTTTTCCTGTCATCTATTCCTCAAATGCAAATAAAAGGAACCTGCAGAAAAATAATTGGTTGTTTTGCCATTTCCATGCAAGCAAACAGAAAAGGCATTGCTATTCTTTTTGGCTCCTATTCCCTACTTAAACCGATGTATTTTTTTTTACAAGGTACAATTTTGGATGTCTTGTAAAAACTATCTGAAAGACACTGGATGCAAAAAAGTACAAAGAAGAACCAAGGGAGGGTTTTGGTGGTTATTTTGTTTGTTTTTTTGCTGGGGTTGGGGTTTTTTTTGACCATTTATCCTCTGCGTCCTGTCTACAGGCAGAAAGCTGCCTCAGACCCCGTTATACTCAGATGGGAAAGGAAACACTTGCTGTGTCTTAACAGGAGGTTCATCTCCACTTTGTGTGAGCCGTGGGCTCGCTGTGGGCTCCGCTGCATCCCCTGCACCGCTCGACCCCTGGCCCTGCAGACGGCCAGACCCACCTGGGAGCACCCCCAGGAGCATCCCCCCACCACGCCCAGGGTCGGGCTCCAGCCTGGCCTCGTGCAGCGATTGGTCCCGCCACAGGGAGGGGAGCGCGGGGCGAGGGCCTTCCAGGGTAGAATTTACTATCTATCACCACGTCCACTATGTACGCTGGGATGATTTATTTACGCAGGGAAAAGCCAAGAAAATTCCCAACTGAACCGTGCTCCTGACTCTTACATTTAAACAACTTCATGGCCAGGGAACGTGTTTTCCCTCTCTCTTTTCCTGTGTTTTCCATGACCATTTGTTAAACACATTACAACCCACGATTTACCTCACTCTGAAGCTCTGAGACCTTTCGTGGCTTTATTCCCTCCTGGCATTCTGTAGGTCAGTCGCTGTATGCTCACAACAGATGTCACGAGAAGGGGCAGGAGTACCGTGTGGAACAGGCAGTCCCGTTCCACGCGTGCCTGGGCTTCCGCGATCTGCTCCAGAGCGGCCTCGGCAGCCAGAGCAACGCGCCGCAGCCTCCGCCCTGGTGAGGGAAGCAAAGACTGGGTGGGAAAACTACCCCTAGCTAATACGTAGATAGGAGGATCGTTTACAAATTTAAACTCCACGTTCGCTCCAGGTCTGAAGCAAAAATAAGAAGAGATTTGAGGCAGAATTAGGCCCTTAAAGCTCAATTAAACCTCAGGCAGGACATTAAGATCTTTATACTTGGCGCACGAGTGAAGACCACTCGATGGCTGCAAATTTATTCCAAATTAACAGTGGTGCAAAGGAGTGAAGAATTAATCCAGTGATGTGGGCTTGGACCAATCAATCGTTCATAGTCACAATCTTCTTGTCTTTTGTCAATATGCATATTTAAAATTTATTTCTGATGCTTTATTCAGATATGACAGTGAAATCACCAGAGATTAACGAGTGAAATGAGAGGCCTGTTCAATTGAAAAAAAAACAACAAAAACCCCCCACACAAACTGTGATATTAAAGCAGGTAATGTTATCTAAACATTAAATAAACGAACAGAAATAAACTCCCCCATGGCATCAGAACCGTTATCATCTTGGTTGTGTAAACACAGGAATAAACAAACGCGTTCGGTCTAAAGGACACTGAAATTAAGTTAACATGAAACATCTGCCCCGCTCAGAAAGCCGTTACTGACATAAAAAACTGTGAATTCTCAACCTCCAGATCAAACCTACTATTACATGAGAGTTAAGTACATCTAGTTTAGATAAAAGGAGTCTGAGTATAAGAATTCTAGAGGAGCATAAAATAGCCAGAGGAAACATTAAAGCCCACTGCCGCTCATCAAGCAGATGTTCTTGTCACCGAACCGCTGCTACTGAAACCCACCCCCGGGGCGTTTCTCCACGTAAGATTATACCCACAGATCCCTTCTCATTCTTTAGCTTTCAAGAGCAATACAACTGCTGTGGCTTTTACTCAAGCAAATGTAATTAAACGATTCCAGTGTTTTACCGAAGCGCGCCTTTTTGGTGGGAAAAGCGCTGGATGGAGAACGCTGCCCCGGCTCGCCTCTGCGAGTTCAGTTTGCCTTCAGACAAACTCCCCCTACTCCTCCGCCCACGGCTGCAGCTCCAGAATTAGCAATCCCATTTTACAATTGATAAACTGATCTCAGGCCAGTTAACTCCCAGACTTGCTTAACTCAAGGCTGGCTGCTAAAATCAGCAACCCGATTTGCAGAGGACTGAGCCAATAGTCCTGCAAACAAACAATTCAAAGCAAAGCAAGGGCCGCCTTCTCACGTGTTGCGTAATCCAAAAGCACTCAAAGTCACCGTTTTGCATGTATTTAAAGACTGAAGTAGACCCAAAATATTCAGTGATGAAACCGTATGTCTGAAAGGCATCAAGAAGGTCAAACCACGGAGCGCTATTTTTATAATACTCTAGTCTGATTATTTCAGCTTCTTCTCCAAATAACGTCTCAATGGCTGATGACAGTAAATGAGGCCATCAAAGAAAATTTGATGCGTGTTCTTCTAGTAAAGATACGGAAAAACAAGCAGCCTACGCTGAGGTAAAAGGAAGAATAATAAGTGATCTGTAAACAAAGCTGCAAACAAGACTAAGAGACTTAGAACAAAAGATAAAAGCAAAGTACGTGGTCGTTCCTTAACAGGGAAGGGAGGCCAGTGCTGCTGGGTGATGCGGAGGTTAACATGCCCTTTGTATGTGAGCCCTCATCAAAACACCAGCTGTGACCAAACGCTTAAGCCCTTAAAAGGTTAAAGACTATTTCTGTAAATCGTGTGTCCATGGAGGCTTTGTTAAATGGTACTGGAGGATGCTCAGGGAACCAGACAGAGCAATTGCTCAGACACCTGCGATCATCTTGAGAATGTGTGCTGCCAGCGCGGGGATGGGGTTACGGAGGGACAAACAAAGCACTTTTTAAGAGGAGGGCCTGAGGAACAAATGCTAATGCCTGTAAGGAGGCTGGAAAAGAATTAAAAGAATCCATCTGTAGATACACAGAAGAAAATGAGGTGATAACAAACAGCCACTATGGGCTTGTAATGGAGAGAGAGCAGGTTAGGAGAACCTAGTTATCTCCTTCCCCAGCTAACTGGGCTTATTAAAGACAGGGAAGAAGCTGATGTGACACCGGCTTATGAGAAACACAGTTCAGAAAAAATTACTCTAAAGGTTGAAATGTGAGCGCAAAATGATGACTGCACCACGAGAAAATGCAGGCGAGAGACCCCACCCTCCGTCTGCACTATCCACTATTTCAATCAACACGGGGGGTGAAACGCAAAGAAATTTAAAGATAACAAAGTGGAAGGCATCGCGATCACTTTGGAGATGGGATTAGAGTTCAGAATGATCTACATAAATTGGAGAAATGATCTGAATCGTTCAGACGGAATTCTGTACAGTGCACAACGCTTTTAAAGAAATGTCAACGCCTGTAAACAAGACGGGCTCAGCGGCACTTCTGTAGGAGAGGATTTGGGGATTGCAGTGGATAGTCAGTTTTTTTTCAAGAAAAGAGAAGAACGACAGGGGAAACTAGAACAAGTTCACCATTATGTAAGAGGCTGCTGCCAAAAGGAAGAGAATAAGCTGCCTTTCGTGTCCACTGTGGATAGAATAGTAATAATAGAGTGCATTAAAGGGAGGAAGAAATAAGCCTGACATCATGAACCATTTCCTAATCATAAAGTTAGCAAAGCACTGACAAGGTGTTCAAGGGAGATTGTGCCATTTCCTCCAGCTGGAGTTCTAAAGGACAGGTCAGAAATGAGATCATCTTGCCGTTACACCAGGTGATGGACTTCTCTGGTCCCACCCTGACCTTCTGCAGCGGAATGCAGAGGAGTGGGAACGAGCAGCCTTCAGAGGGCAGGGGGGAGGCGGCCACAGAACCCAGCCAGGGTGTTAACTCTTGGAAAACGGCCCTGACACGGGGGGGCTCTGCCTTCAGGAAATCTGGGTCCAATTCCATGAGTGCAGCCACTAGACTGATCTTCCGCCGAGCACGAGGCGGTGCCAAGGCAGCCAGAAGTCTGTGGTTTCAGGGGGTGCTGCGCAGAGAACCCCATCTGACTTTCCTGGACCACTCTATTCCAAAAGATAAAAATCACTCCTGTATCCTAAGGGGAATGTTAAAATTTTTCAAATCCCATATAAAATGATTAAAGGTAATTCTGTACCTTGCAGGCTCAGGGCTTTTAAAACGGACCAAATGGGCATTCGGCAGAATTTATCTAAATGAATCTGTAAGAAAGTAGAGCGGCAAGTAATGTGACATCTGCTGTTGGCATTAGTTAAGTGCAGACACGGCATTCTTCAGATCTCCTAACCTTGTCTGAACCCGTAATTTTTAATTGGGACAAAACTGGAATGAGACAATCATCCTGAATTTAAATGTTTCGATTTGTGAGTCAGTAAAGCAGCTGCACTACCAGCAGAGCCTTGCTAAGATGCTAGATTATCTTTTCCTATTGGTAATTAAGGTTTAAACTAGCCACTAAAACAATCAGAAGATTGACTCGTATTGATAAAGTGGAGATTAAAGAAAGAAAAAGGCACCAAACTCATTAAAATCCTCTGTAACATGTCATGAGTCTTCAGTGTTTTTCTTGAGGGTACGAGGACAATATGACCTTAAACTTTCTTGGGTAAGTGAACATGAGCAGGTTAATACAGTAAGTTTTTAAGGTGGATTTTCACTTCTTGAGACTGCGTCCTCTACTAGAACAAAAGGCCTCTATGCACACACTTTTTTCAGACTCTACATGTCTGAGGTAAGGAGCTGGCATCAATCTCTCAACACAAATTCTTTTCTCTGCGGATGTGGCTGGTCTGAGCGCAGGCTCGGGAGGCTGGACATCGCTTGGGTCCAACGCTGTCCGGAGGAGAGGTACCAGCCAAGCGTCCGAGTCTCTCAGGTTCAGTCGCAATGAAGGGCATTTGTCCAGATTTGCCTGACATAATTATTGGCCAAATATTCATCTTGCTGATTCAGCTAAGTCTCCTGTTGAGCTAAATGGGAATTCTGCCTGGAAAAAAAATGAGAAGCTGGCACCCACCAGAGTGGGATAAATCAGCCCCAAGTAAGAACGCCTGGATTTTACCCTGAGGCCCAAACGGCCTCGAGTTTGGATTCATAAAAACTGTGGAAGATAAGCCTTCGCTAGTGCTTGCTGCCAACAGGCCTGGAAACTCTGGCAAAAAGTGCTGGGTCCCATGCTGAGCTGGGCCACTAACCCACATCTCCAGTGGGCCCCTCTGAGAGGCCGTTGGGTGGGCAAGCCGCACGGGGGAGAATAGCCAAGGTGAACTCCCCTCTTGTAGCACATTTAGCAACACGAGATGCAAACCGTGCAATCACAGAGGCAAAACGACTGCCTGTGCCACAGGAACCACCCGACCCTCTGTGCCAGGGAACCGGCAGTCCGGAGAGAGGGAATCTTCCCGACTCCTCTTTGGCAATAAATCATTATTCTCCAAACTTGAGAAAACAGAGCGGGTAAAGTGCTTTAGGCAGGGTCTGGTCCAAAGCCCGATGGGAAGTGTGGGTCACTGCAGTGGAGAGAGGCCCGTGAGAGCTGGGCTCGTCCTTCCGATGGACGCACAGGCGGCTTCTTCCCTTCGGCTGCGGCTCTGGCACGGGAGCGGATGCAAATTCCATGCCCGAAAAGTGAATAGGTCTGGTAGATCAATAGGTAAGGCAGGTATGCAAGAACATTAGATTTTCCTACGCTAACAGGAGAAAAGCAAGAACATTGGGAAAAAACGCATAGAAATCATAGAAATATGTAGGGTAAGAGCACCGTAATTCCAAGGGTGATGCGGTGGGGTTTAGCGTGTAAAGAAACAGAGCAACGCCCGCCTTCCTAAAGACACATAATTACAAGACAATTTTTGAGAGAGGCCTGTTCCAGTACTAGCGTCTAATTTTAGACAATCTTCCACTTCACCATGCCCGATGAGGGCCAAAGAACCCTCGCTTTTCTAATGTCAGTGCTTCCTGCAATAAAGCAAAGAAATAATAGGAGAAAAAGAATGCCCTTAAGAGCACAATGCTTGCAGTCCTTCCTAAAGCATGGCCTGCTGCTTGGCTAATGGCCTGCTGGCTTTGATTAGCAAAGCACAAAGCTGGCAAACACAATCAACAGACTTTCCAATTACAAAACCTCCTCCCACTTTCAAACTGTGTCCCAGAGAGCTGGGCTGAGAATTCCACCCCCCCCCCCTCCAGGAGAAACACCCCATTATGTTTTGCCGGGGTAAAGATGGCCAAATGCAGCAGGACTTACACAAATTACATACAGCTCCTTACTCCATTCCTTGTCTACAAAGCAGGACAAGAGAACTTCCCCATCTCACAGGGCACTCAGGGATAGCCACAATCAATAGCCCGAGGTCCTCACATCTTGAGCTATTAGGGCTTGCAACTCCTAAGCAACAAGAAGTATTTCAAAAAACTCTTTTAATCTCATAGATTTTGTAAATAAATTTAGTTTTGAGAGGGATGCTATTTAACTAAATTTTAAAAGTAAAGGAAGGAGCTGTCAACTTACGTGGACAAAAGATACCAAGACAACACGACAGCACAGCGGGATCCACGCTCGGAAGAGCTCGCCTGCCTGTATCGCCCAACACTTGGAAAGGCACTGAATTACCCAGAGAAAAATCATTCTATGTGCTTTTGGACCATGTACAAAAACCAAAGAGACCTCCTGGTAACGAGAAAAAAAAAAAAGCCAGTGAGAAATATTACAGCTTTTCACAAAGAATGAGACGTAGCGAAGGTTTCCCGTTGCCAGGAGGGCTCCCCAGCACACGCGGCATCTCCGCTCATGTCACAGGCCACGACTGGAACCCTTCCCTTCCCCATGGCAGGGGACAGAACCCAGCCCGACAGCGTTAGCTGCTCGCCTGCCTGCGAGCGTGACTGCTACTGCTGTCGGGGCAGGCGAGCGAGGAGGGCAAGGAGGGAAAGGAGGGGAAAGGCTTCCTGGCGCGGAGCCGTGCCAGCCCGAGTGCCAGCCCGAGTCCTGCCTCGCGCGTGGGGAGCGTCGCGGCGCAGCAGACATGCTGCAGGCCCACCCTGTGGAGAAGCAGGAAATGGCAAGTCCCGGTTACTCCATTCCTTCCGTTTTTGTGTAAGGTTAAGAGCAGACACACCAAAGCACACCGGGACCGACAGCCTGTCCAGGGAAGTCAAGGGGCAGGGCGCAGCGGGGCTCTTTTAGCTAACGGAGCTCCTGAAAAACATTCACAAACTTTTAAACGATGCTGTTGACATGAACTAACGCACCGTTAGCGCACTAGTGAGCAGCTCGGCCCCACCGAGGGCTCTGGCTGTCTCCCAGCCCAGCCCCTGCACCACGGAGCGTGTGCCCAACCCCAACCGCTGCTCCCCGAGAACAGGAGTCCCAGCTCCCTCCTGCACGGGTTATCCCCTGAAAACATCCTGGTGCTGATACCTGGAGCGAAGCCTAAGGGTATTCCAGGTGCTTATCACAGACCCAGACAACGTCTCTCCAGTACCCCGGCCTGGAGCGCTCCTCTCCCTGGAAAGAAGGTCGTTGCTTTGGGGAGGAGGCGGCGAGAGTGTGAGCAGTGTCGGTGACCCCCCCACAGACCCAGGAGGCTCCTCTCCAGCTGCGAGGATGAGGAACATCTGGCTTCCCACAAAGCACCACATCAGTCCCTGCTCTCTGCAGCTTCTGAAGGTATTCATCCATCGCTAAACCAGCAACAGCCCCTCAAGAACAGATGCCAACACCAACACAGCTGAAAGGCACAGGGGCACAGAAAAAACACAGTTTAGTAAAAGATTTGTTGGTACTTACGGAAACGTTGCCTACAGAAACCAGCTGAGCTGCAGTCAGCAGCTGCCCCCCAAACAAAGCTACTGTGGAAACATCCACAAACCGGGACAAAAAAAAGGACAAACCAGGAAAGGTAACACTTAACTTTTGTAGAATAGGAAGTAATTTCAAGATTGGGTGTGATAACAGCAGTGGTTTTAAAAAAGCAACACTCGCATTCATATTTGAACACTTTAAGCTGAGTAACATGAAAATGTCAACAGACAATGCAGGATGGAAGCAAGTAATGTTGGTATTCCATCTGAAAACTGGATGAGAATACCGATGTGAACAGACTGTGGGGGAAGAGATCAGATTTAGAAAGTAAAAAGAATAAAAAGTCCTACTAAATATGAAAGGCAAATACGGAAGTAAAGAATTACAGCATACAATCTTGTCATTCTATGACACGGCAAGATTAAATCGTCTGAAGTGTAACCAAAACCGAAGCAAGAACTAGGACAAAACATTATCACAGAAAATCAATGGAATTGACTTTGGAAAGGCAATAAACAGTCAATGGAATCACATTAATTAATGTACCGGGAATTTGGGGTATTTAGGACTACCAGTCTAGACATAACATCTTGTTTTTATGAAGCCCTCTATGAATTAGAGCGTTGGACCTTCTACACCCCCCCGCTTCTCTCCTGCCCCGGGGAGAAGTTAGAAATCCACTTGCTAAACACTCCACACCGAGGGCTGGAGAACACAAAGTGCTCCCGAAACTCACCGGCCAGACCCTGCAGCTCGAGGAGAGCGTGTAGGATCCTTTGTGGCCAGAGCAAGGACTTGGTGAACATATATAATAGATCTAAATAAATACCTTTTCATACGGCCTTTCCAAACTCAGCAGCTGTATGGCCGGTGCTACACTGAGATGAGTGAATTCTAATGTTTTTCCTGGGCACTTAGCTTGCTCGTGCTGCGGTGAGAGAAAAGGTTATTATGAATAACGCTTTAACACAGACATAATCGCCCTGGAAGCGATCCACAGAATCGGCACAAGCCTTAAGAAGTGACCCACATTTGTCTATGCAAGGTAAGCTTAATCAGCCACTTCACAAAAATACAGTTATTTGAGAATTAGAACCTGATATGCTCAAGAAAGTTTGTGGGCTTTTATACTTACTAGAACAATTCTGCATTTAATTAGGCCTCATTAGTAAAGATAATCGGTGTAATTTATTTGCACAAATACAGGACATCATGCTCCACCAGCAGGTAATGTTCTTCATTAAAAGCAGTAAGAACTTTGTGCGCCAGGGCAGCCGCGGCATACTCATCTGAAGAAATCAGAACTACAAAGTACAGAGTAAAATGTTTTGCTTAATAAAAATCAACTCACCGTTTTATTTAGGATGATAACTTGCAATAAACATATCAAAGTAAAAAATTATCTGAGCTCTTGAATTTGCTTCTGGGAGGAAACTGAAGTGTTTTATCTGTGTCTTGAGTTTTAAAATTCATTGTAACAGCCAGTTACAGCCCCAACCGCGGGTCAGGGCTTTGGGCATCTGGGCACGGGACTCAGGGGCTTTATGCTCAGATGACACTTCCCACAACTCCCAGTGCCACGATCAAAAGCTGGCCCAGGCCAACAGCAAAGGGCCGTCAGTAGCTTCTGGTGGCACTAGGAAGGTATTTTTAGGACAACGTGCAGGACTAAGGAAAGAGTGAACAGAGAGTGTGCTGAGCCTTCGCAACCATTCATTCACGTGTCACTAGGAGCAGTTTCCCTCCGAGGATGCATTTTCACCCTGAGCCTTACCAGAAGGTGTTAACGTACCACACCACCCCGCAAACCCCTCCCCAGTATGAGTTAAGCCATGCCTGGATCCTTTTCGTGTTTTAAGAATTAGCAAGTGCTGAAGAACAATTTCTGCTTTCTCACTTCTCACACTTGGAAGACTTCTTGTGACTAACATCACAACCTCGTTGTGCTTCTCATGGTGACTGAGGCAAATAGCCAATCCACTAACTGAACAGCTTTAAATATGATTTTGCTTCGCATAACTGAACCCCATTAAAAAGGAAAGATTAGAAAAATCAAACGCATTTTTCAAAATCTAAGGAAAATTTAATCAATACGCCTTAAATTATTTTACAGTAACTACAATACTGACAAGCATAACATTTCCAAAATGGTGTTTTCCTTGGAAGTACTGCAAAAGAGATTACTCTTCATCTACCAGTATGTGCACCGTTAGGAAAAGAGACTCTAGTTGAAGTCATCTTCAGAAATCCAAGTTAACATATAGCTACTTAGACATCCAAATGTATTCAGAGTTCAAATGTGACAGAATTACAGATCCCTTTTAAGCATCTGTTTTCTAAATCATAATTTAAGTATCTTAAATCCTGAAATACCATCACATCAAATGAACAAAGAAATGAGACCAAAGAGCTTAAGAGTATATTTGTCAAAATATAGAAAATGCTCTAATTGCTTGTGTTCATTTGTGCATTTTGCTGTTGGTAAGAGGGTAAGGAAACAGGTTCCTTATTACTGCAGATTTATTCAGAGTACCGCAAATCTACTGCAAGTGCAGTTCCGTTAACTTTTCCAGATAAAAATCTATCATTTTATAACTGCAACGCTTCTCCCTCCCTCCCCTAAAAAAAAGAGAAAACAAACAAAAAACACAACCCTCAAATAAACAACCAAAAGTTACTTTGCTAAAGATAGAGGAATGGGAAAGAAATGACATTAACCTGATAAGCATGAACACTTATTAAAGCTATAGACACCTCAGGTCAATTGAAAACAGTATTCAAAGTCCTAAAAAAGTGAACACGAGACATTTGTTTTCATCGGTCCAGATGATTCAAAACAGGTCTAAGTTTTGTGACAGCAACACTACACAGTTGTTTGCAGCTGCTTCTGGTCCAACTAAAGGTTCCAAGTTGATGTTTTCATTTTGGCCCACTGGAGTCCAACGGTTTGGACAGTCTATTCAAAACACAGAAATGAGAGCAAAGACTCCATACAATAAAGCACAGGGGTATGCTACTAGAAGTTGTTGTCCTTCCATTGCTAAGGCAGAAATAAAGATTTTGGAAGCAGAAAAACTGCACCAGCCAATGATACCAGCCGTGAGAATTATCCCCATCACTCCCCTGTAAAAACAGAAATAAAAAAGAGAATTCATGTAAGACTGGTGTATGTACGCTTATAGGAGTCCTAACTAGACTCCTTCTAACACCTTTACAGCTTCTAAGATGAATTTTGGCTTTTATCTTTGACTTTTTGAATTAAATAGTCCCAGTAAAGACTTCAGAACGATATTATTCCGTTATGACAGTATATAAAAAAAACCCAAACTAACTACGTGCATATGAAACGTAAAAGCAGTCAGTAAAGGAACTGCATCAAGTTCTTCCTTTCCAGTCCCTAATTTTGTACAGCTATGAGGAATCCCACTGATTTTCTTCCATTTGTCAAATTCAAATTTGCATCTTAAATTACAATTACTTGTAGACTTTACAGGTACTGAGATCTGTCAGACTCGAAGCTGACTGCAAACAAACTTGATATTGTTATTTGAGTCTACGTATTCAAAAGCTGCCAGCTGACTTACAGCTCAAACCAGCGTTCACCTTTCATCCAGTAAACACCTGAAGACTGCTGATATTTGCATCTTCACGCTTACTACAAATTCCTGTCGCATTCAAATTCTACGCGGCTTCATTGCTGAACATGACAATTCCTTTTAATAACTTCCTCCACCATCCCACAGGAGAGGAATCTCTTACCAGATCACAAAGCTTATGTACTTACTGCAACGAAAATACAATGGCGGAAGTGGAAAGTAGGATCATAGGAAGGAGACAGTATCCAAGGACACTGGCGACGCAGCCGAAGGAGACACCCGTCATGCTCATTAAGTTCAGGAGACAAAACATCCCCAAGCACCCGATTGCACTTATTCCGTACACGTAGCCAAACTGGATTTTCCCAGCCTGAAAGCGAAGCAGTGACGCCAGTTAGTGACCAGCGGGAGCAACGTCCCCCCAAATGGACATTCAGGGGGGGTCTTCACCTTCCCCTGCCCCCAATTCCTACATTCACATCCACCAGGCAGCGTTTGCCCACAGCAGGAAGGAATCCCAGGACGTCTGTATGTTGTAGGCACCCAAGAGGCACATTTATCCCAACGTTACCTCTCTCGATGGACAGGATCAAACTGTTATTCTTCGATCTGAGCTGCAAATCCTTTAAGGTTTAATCAACTAGCTTCTCATGCTGATTACTTCCAATAATAATCTTTACAGAGCTAGCGCACAAAGACAAAAAATTGTGAATTGGGAACTTCTTAACAAATCCAAACCTAGCGTCCTTTAATTTGTGACAGACTCCACAAAGCTGTGGCACAACGTAAACTGTAAAAAGCTGAGCTGCAAAGCACCGTATGCGAACGGCAGAACTAACTCACGCCGATTTTAAAAGGTCGAAATCAGAACTTTGCCTACTACCAGTATGCAGAAGGCACACACGCGTTGTTCCAAGACATACACATCCCACGTCCGTCTCTTTTTCCAGCGATGAGACCAACGCTTCCCGCGCTAACACCCATCAAACCACACACTGCTCGGTGCTCGCAGCTCCAGGAACACGGGACAGGGCGTCCCCCACTACTAACTTCCAGTTTACTTACCCTCTTCTTCCTCAAACGCCACAGAAACCAACCATATCTGCTTTAATCTTTTTGCTAAGCTCAGCTTGTTTTCTTCCACTACCATCAATGTATTTTTTTAAAAAAAGCACATAGGAGAAAGTAATCATTTCATGGGAAAAGAACATCCAAATGTACCTGTTATAAATATGGTCATTAATTCTACTGGCCTAGTTTCCATAAATAAAAGTTACTTATAGAAGTAGGCTTGAAGTCCCTTTGTACCAAAACACTGTGTTCCAAGTGTCATAGCAATGTGAAAGTTTAGGCAAAAATTAAATGCAGTGCCCAAAGGCAGAGAAAAAACATCTGATTCAAAATATTGAAGCTTTCAATGATGAGAAAGACTGTTTGCTGCTACTCTGTCATTTCATAATTGGCAGTTTTGAGTCACCAGCACAATCTTACTTCAATTAAGCTCACTAAAAAAACCACCAAGCTTCAACAGCTGCCGGCCTGTTCAGAAGTATAAACAATCTGAAAGCAGGTTTACTGTAGAAGTGTTGCACCAGACTGGCTCAAGACCGACACATGCCTAACTCATCAGCACTTAGGAAATCACTTTTTACACAGGAATTTTGAGTTTTCTTGCCTCTTGAGTTAAAGAGCAATGAATAAAGAGCACGGAGTGAAGAAACACAATGAAACAGGGAAACAGGCTCAAATATTAAACACAGTAAGAGTTCAAATATAAACTCTTAAATGGAGAAATGAAATAAATGTTAAATATTTAATGTGTCCACTGTTCTGATTCCTGGTAAGACAGAAGATGACAGAGATGCTGCAAAAAGACAAGGTGTGATTCTGAAAGTAAGACGTCTCAATCTACAACACCCCCCAAAATCTGAAAACATTCGGGCACTCCCATTCCTGTGACAAAAGGGAGCCACATTCCTCAAAAGCAAAGTAGGAAAATAAATACGAATTACATTGAAATAATTGCCATGAAAAAAAAAAAACAAACAAGCACAAAGACTTGGATTCAAACGCCACAGAAGTGACGTGACAGGGAACTCATTCATTTCAGCCAGCGGTGCGTGGAGCCCCGGCTCCTCTTTCTTGGTCAGAACGTGCTTTTTTGGCCTCCATACCAAGAATTCCCTTCTAATAAACCTACAGGTACCGGGAAAAAAAGCCAAGTTGTTCTGAGAATATTAATGCACAAACAGTGGCATTTTGCAGCCCATATCTCACCAGTAACAAGGTGGCCCCAAACACCAGGCAGAAGACCATCGGTCCAGCCAAGTCAGTCTCATTCAT